TTTAGAATATTGCAAGAGTGTGGGAAGGGTTTAAAACGCCTTTACATATATATATATATATATATATATATATATATATATATATATATATATATACTAAAATAGACTACTACTTACTACTTGTACTACTATTCCTACTTCGTGGTATTTCACTTATCGCGGGTCTTCAGGGTACGGATCCCCTGCAATAAACGAGGGACTGCTGTTCACCACTTCCAGCTCACCCTACTCTTCCACTTGCTTCTTATGGTGTTGGATCCAAAGCTAATGGCATCAGCTTCAGACCTGATATACAGTATATGCTCTACAAAAATATACAGTAAATGCAGCACTTAAGTTTTTGCTCTCATTTTTAATGAGCTGAACTCAAATATCTAAGACTTTTCTATGTCACAATAGGCCTTTTTTGTCTTAAATACTGTGTATTGTATGGTGTTGTGTGGGTAAGCGGTTTGCTGATTTCAACGTTGTGAATCGAGTGCCCATGGTGGCAGTGGGGTTATGGGCAACAAACACCGTTTTATTGATGGCATTTTAAATGCACAGAGATACCGTGGCAAGATCCTGAGGCCCGTTACTGTGCCTTTCATCCGTGACCATCACCTCATGTTGCAGCATGATGGTGCACGGCCCCATGTTGCAGGGATCTGTGCACAATTCCTGGAATCATCCCAGTTCTTGCACAGCCAGCATACTCACCAGACGTGACCCAGTGAGCATGTTAGGGATGCTCTGGATTGGCATAAAAGACAGCATGTTCCAGTTCCTGACAATATCCTGCACCAACATTCCACAGGCCACATTCAACAACCTGATCAACTCAGTGAAGGAGATGTGTTGCACATTTTGGAGTGGTCTTTTATTGCTGTCAGTTTAAGGCACACCTGTGCAATAGTCATGCTGTCTAATCAACATCTTGTCATGCCACACCTGTGAGGTGGATTGTCTCTGCCAAGGAGAAGTTCACACATTTACACAAGTTTGTGAGCAATATTTGAGAGAAAAGGCTTTTTATGTTCATAGAAAATGTCTTAGATCTTTGAGTTCAGCTAATGAAAAGTGGAGCAAAACAAAAGTGTTCATGTTTGATCGTAACGATCTGTATATTGTGTATAAGCACTAATACAGTTTAACTTTATTGTCACGTTTTAATGTTTTAGCCTTGACTCGTGTTTTAGTCTCCAGTACAACGGTTGTACAGCATGTCTACGCCCCAGAATTCATTGTGCCTGTAAAATAATGGCGACCTCCTAAGGTGAAACATTTAACAAATGTATATAATTTTTTTAAGTAATTAAGCGTTTTCACATTTCACAAACAACAACTTTTCTTAGATAAACAACAACATAAGGCCAATATGTGCAAGTTGTCAAAAATCTCTTTAAGACACTTTTTTATGTTAGTCCTGGTCTTGACATTTAGGTTATAGATGTTTCCCTGCTGCCTAAAGTTAGAGAAGCCAGACTAAGATGGTTTGGACATGTCCAGTGGAGGGACAGTGGTTTGGACATGTCCAGAGGAGGGACAGTGGTTTGGACATGTCCAGAGGAGGGACAGTGGTTTGGACATGTCCAGAGGAGGGACAGTGGGTATACTGGTAGAAGGATGTTAGAAATGCAGCTGCAGGAAAAAGACAAAGAGGAGACATATGGATGCAGTTAGAGAGGACATGGAGGTAGAAGGAGTGAGGACAGAGGACAAAGTGAGGACAGAGATGGAGGAGGATGACGCTGTGGAGACATCTTCTGAAGAGGGAAAGCTGAAAGCAGATGTTTCTCTGCTACAACACTTTGTTAAAACTGACGAGTCATAAAGAGGCTTTGAAGACTGCCTGAACTTTGTGTATTGGAGCAGAAACTCGTCTGATGTTTGGATTAGATTCACTTTTAAATCTCCAGTTAAACACGAACGTGTTGGTGAAAGCTTCACCCCGTCGTATCATTTCACACCGTTTGGTTTTAAAGGAGAATGAGTCTATAGATTACTAACGCAGGTTTGTGTTTGAACTTTTCACAGCTATAAATATAAAATGCATGTGGATTTTTTTAATAACTTGTATTGAAATAAGTTGATAGGACATAGATTTTTAAGATAACCTGCTTCCTTCTCTCAGCATCCTCCTCTGTCCCACCAGCCCTCTGCAGATCCTCTTTCTGTGAACCTTCTCTGTGGTCCTTTTCTTCCTCCCTGGTTGCTCCATATTTAACATATTTTGTCTAATTAGTCCACCATCCCTCCTCTGCACATGTCTAAACATCTCAGCCTCTAACTTTTTCTCCAAACTTGAGTTGTCCCTCTGATGGACTCATTTCTAATTCTGTCCATTTTGTTCTCTCCTAATGAAAATCTGAACTTGTTCCTCTTTGCACCTCCAGCTCCTCTTTCTGTTTGTTCTGTTAGAGACGCCGTCTCCAAAAACTAAACCTAGGAGCAGGTCTCTCCTCCATCTTGTAAACATTTCACTCCCTCAGCTGTCCCTCCGACACTCGTCTTCATCTCTTCCTCACGTTTTTAGTGTTCTGCTCTTTTCTTCGAACGGTTGACTCCAGGTGCTTAAACCTATAGTTACTTTTAGTCTAAAACAGTTTAATCATGATTAAAATTTGTAAACTTACAGCAGAACACATCATGCATTTTTGATCAAATTCTACATGTAAAGTTAAAGAAGGAGTTACGGTCTTGTTATGTAAAAAAAAAGTCATAATAGATTTTTTAAAAACTGTATAATTGTACTTCTGCTTTATTTAAATTGATTTAAGATAGTTGTTACAGTTGTTTGCAACAATAAATAGCAATAAAACTTTTTTATTCACTTCAGTGCAATTCTAACCCCAGGTAATCAGGCTGTCCTGATCCTGCAGAGTGAAAAACACTTTTCTGAGATTTGTTGTCGTCCCATGAAGTTGACTTTTTATTATAAGAGATGTTTCTCATTTTATGGTTTATTTTATTACAAATATTTACTATATGTATTTATTTATATTTTAGCCTTTTGAATTGTGTTTATTATTGTTAAGTGTTGCTATTTTAAAACTTTTGATGCCTTTTTAAGGCAAAGAGACTTCCAAAGAAAATTAACGTTTAACTAACTGCACATTTATTTATGTTTGACTTGTTTACATGTTGATTAATGTACACCGTACCGTCTCTTCTTAAAATAATAAATTGTAAAAGAGAAAATCAAAATGAAAGTATCAAGGTTTTTTTTCTGTTAAGAAACTATTTCTGTTGGAAAAATGGTCTCAAAACTTTGCAAACATGTAAGATTTGGTTTTGTTTTGTATAATTGTTTACTCTTTTGCCCCAAAAACATTTATAGATGTCAACAAATTTTAATTTTGACCAGCAGATTTTCTTTTCTCTCTCTCTCTCTTTTCCATTTTCTTTTAATATTTATTCGGTATGGGTATTGGTGGAAAAAGTTTGTAGGAAACATGAAGATAAAAATTTTGTTTGAAAAGAAAGAAAATAAAAGTCAAATTGAAAGCACTTTAAATGCAACAATGACCATGAAAACTGCAGTTTAGGTGAGTCTGAACACCCCTCCCTCAGTCCCTGGTTCATTCATTGTGGGCTGGAAGTGGCCCATGGGCCAACAGTTGATCATCACTGGTTTACAGTATTTTGAACTTAGTCCTTTTTTAATGTCTTTAAAAATATAATTATAAAATAGAATAGATTTAAATACTTTAGTTTCAAATATAATCAAAATATCTATAAATTCAGGCGTACTGTTTTATTAATAATTTTCATTTTTTAAATAATTTTAAGTTAATGTACAGTCCTTTCATTGTTGTGTTTTATTCTGAAAAGCTGCCCGTTGAAAACGGAAGTGGTGTTGATACTGTGAGCTTTGCTCGTCACTCATTGGTCAGTGAGGAAGAAACAGAAAGTGTCACAGAAAGCCGCCGCTTACGAGTGACTTGACTTG